AAATTTAAGTACTGTCTTTTAAAACGAGCTACTTGCCCATTCATTGGCCATATACTTTGAAGTAATTATTTATATATGAGTAGTAACATCTACACGTCAAAATTTCTTTAATAATTTATCAATGTTAGTAACTCATTGAGCGATATAAAAATATTCGACTTCACTTTTACAAACACTTGATCGAAAAGCCAAAACAATTGATGAGAGAACTCAATTTAATTCTTTTGTAATTATTTCAAGAATCCCTTTTTCAGTTAAACACTATCGCAAACGATGAGTATGATCTAATTATTTTAACTATCTTATTTTCTTAACATTTAATTCTCGTTTCTTTTATAGATTCTATTATCATTTTCGATACAAAATCTCAAAGAAAACCTTAGCCACACCCACATCCTCAAATGAATAAATTTATGACTTAAAATGGATGGATACATATATATGGAATTCCTCTCATGATAATTTGTACTATAGAAATTATTCATCTTGTTTTGGCATATTTTGTTTTCTTAGAATTATTTTACAAACAAATGAATCGAACAAAAAAGATATAAACAAATATCAAATATAATCTTTCAGAATATTTTATTGAAACTAAAACAATGATATTTAACGTCTAAAAAACCATTTCTATTCAACATGAATGACATATTATTTACTTTATTAGATCTATAATAGACAGCATTGATGTTCATCGATATATGAAATAACAAGAAACAGAGAGAGAGAGAAAAAGGTGATACCATTCTTTTCCGTCTATTTATCGTCAATTTCGATTATAGAAAAAATTTCTCATTGTTTTCATTGACGAAATTGGTCAAATTGAATAAGTCCATATAAACGAAAAAAAAAATACACAAATGAAGTTAAACATGGAAGGTTTGTCGGCGAAGTTAAATGATTTACCTGATGAGATTCTTCTTCTTATTTTTAAAAAATTGGACAATATTGAAGTGCTCTACTCATTCATAGGTGTTAATAAACGATTTAATAAACTTGTACATGATTCAATTTTCACGAATCATTTAACAATGACAAGATGTTCTTCTAATGGTTCATTTGATCGATTAGATAACCAAATACTTGCGAGATTTTGTTCACAAATTTTACCTTCGATTCATCACAAAATCAAATGGTTGGATATTGAATCCTCATTTATAGAAGATGTTTTTCTTTGTACAAGTTATCCCAATTTATGTGGACTTGGTTTACATAATATCGAGAAGGACATTGCATTACGTATCTTTACTGGTGAGAGATTTTTTTTTCAATCATTAATATTTCAAAAATATAGATAAATCAATAGGATTATTTATTTATAAAAAGATTCTTCATACGATTGTGTCATAGAACATTTTTTTGCTATATAAATAGTAAAAAACAAAAATCTCATTGGAAATCAATGTGTTCAGATAGAGAAAACTAATATTTACTTTAGAACGACAGAAAAAGACTAAAATAGATGTGATAATTTGATCCATATATT